CTTAAAATATGGCTCACGTTCTATTGAGCAAAGGTCGCGTTCACTTGGAGTTTCTGACATGACAGCCCTCCCTCTGTGCCCTTCTTTACTGAAAATGAAAGCCACACCAACCAGGCCCGTCACCAATGACTCAACAAAAGAGCCAAACAAAACCCAAGTCCTGAGAACGTTGACAAAGGCAATGTGAACACCTGGGCAGATTCTAAGTATTTAATCACCAATAATTCTTTCCTCACCCTGCTCCTCCTTGCTGTCCTTCCAAATGGCAAAAGCAAATACAACTGTGCATTTTCTGGATGCAGCTTCCTCAAAACTGCTGTGGAAAAAAATAATATCTTGTCGTTAGGTTAGATTAAGTAGCAAGACTGGGAATGCTATTAGAATATAATAAAGTTTTAAAAAACCTAAAAAAAAAAATCAGAAAGTAGAGTCAGAATATGGTTAGCTCACTCGGGCTTCCCCTCTGCTTTTAAGAACCTGTGAAATGCCACCGCTGTACTGCCATTCCTGCTCACCTCTCCTCTTTTGCTGTTCCTCTCAGGCACCAAATGGTCTCCCAGCGGTGAGCAGTTTTGTGTCGGCATCCAGCATGGCTCCTTACCCTACCCCGGCCCAAGTGTCGCCTTACATGACCTACAGTGCTGCTCCTTCTGGTTATGTTGCTGGACATGGGTGGCAACATGCCGGTGGCACCCCACTGTCCTCCCACAACTGTGACATTCCCGCATCGCTGGCATTCAAGGGAATGCAGGCAGCCAGAGAAGGTAGTCATTCTGTCACAGCTTCTGCACTCTGATGGGAAATTCCGTCTGCAATAGCTTCACCTGGGTCTCCCCCCGTCACCCTCCCCCATCAGGTCTCACACCCCACCTTTCCTGCCCCCCAACCCTCCTGCCTCAAAAGCTGGCTTTATGGACTCACATCCTTTGTGCTGATGACACTTAAATATTTCTTGCCATAACTTTTCTCTTGCAGGAAAACTGACATGACTTTAGGACTTAAAAACAAAAGCAACGGACGTTAAGGATTGAATGAGACATTTGTGTTGCCACACACTGTCTTAATGTAGTGAAGAAACCTACACCCCTCAAAGGGCTTAAGGAACTTTTAAAGCTAGTCTTTGGTAAAACCACATGTGTATATTTATTCTAAATCAACCGAACTTTTGAAACGTGCAATTGTTGAGATTTTGCAAAATCAATAAAGGAAAATACATATAGAAAAAAAGCTATGCTACACCCTCTAATCAAATATGGTAACTGAGGAAGCCTTAATTCATTATTAGGAAACCAATCAATAATTGACTTGTTTGAGCGATCCTTTATTATTTTTAAGAGATGACCTATTGTGTTGAAAAATATGTGTAGAATCCAAGCGGTATCTGAATTGAGCTCCTCCTGGTGTTTTGACTTGGTTCCAAATACAATAATGTTTATATTTTCTATTAGTTTGTAAATATGGACTCTGGAAGGCGCATTTTTGTCTTCATGCCATAAGATCTCCCTCTTCTCCAACCCCACCCCCTCTGCATTTCTTTCTTTCTTTTTTTGCAAAGGTGACTTTCTGGCAACGTCTTTGTCTCTGTTTGGTGGTGGGCTGCTCGGGCTCCTGGACCTGGACTTGCCCCCAAATTTTGTGTGTGCAGTGAAGGCTTCAACATCTCATGAAGGACACTTTCTTTCTACAGCGGAGGACATAAAAAACAGATAAAACAAGCCAGTCTCCCATTTTGTATCCTAATCAAACAACACACATGCCAAGCATATAAAGACAAGAGGGTGGATAATATCTGAATAAGAAGGCTCTAAGGGAAGTCACTTAGAAACTCAAGTTTTGTTTAATGTGAAATGTTTTGCAAAGACGCTTAAAATGAACTTTATGTTAAGAAAACCACTGTGAAACTAAATTGTACTGTTATTGTTGGCTTACCTGTGTGTGCAGCAATTTCAGCCCAAAATTGTGTTGTAATTTAAAGAAAATGGAAAATTCTTCTCTAATGAATGTAACAATGGCTTGCTGTGAAGTTTACATTGTTGTACAGATGTGTGTTTCACATGTAGGCAAACTGGTGGTGGTATGAGAAATACAAATGCTATTTAATTTTAACAAATTCCCTTTATTCATTTCTGAAATTACAGGACACAGTTTAGCTGATAAATCTTTCGAGACTGATTTATTTTTCACATTAATGTTAATAACAGAGCTATGGGGTATAGGTGTGTGTGAGCGTGTGATTATGTGTTGTTATTTTAAAACAACTGATTTTCTTAGGCAAAATTCTGCAGTTTTTATCCCTTCTGTCTAGGAAGTTTTTCCTGCTTGGCAATGTAGGCTTAAAAATAAGTTTTTAGAACAATGGTACAATTCATCTATTGGAAGATTAATATATTGAGGGTTTTTCTTTTTTTGGTATTAATTCTGTGCAATAACTAAAAGGGCACTTCACTAGATGGGGATGTTGATGAAGCATTCACTAGGTAATTTTGATTCCTTCCTGTCTGTGCAGAGCCTACATGGCCATCCACATTGGTTGCACGGCTCCCTTTAAAACTACATGGCTAGATCAGCTAGGTTTTCAAATCACCAGGATATAAACAGTGAGCAGATTTCTGACACACAGATTATGTTCAAGTGACTGCTTTTTTCGAGCAGCAGATATCTGATAGAGAGCTTTGAACTGCATTTATTTCTAAAGCAACTGAAATTCAGTGCTACAAACAAAGGATTACAACTTCAGGAGAAGAAGAAGCAGAAGGAGCAGATGAACTCTCAGGGCCACAGTCTTCCTTTGATCTTGTCAAACTCCCATTGACATCTGGAGTTCCCAGTCTGGTGAGAAAATAGACTATAAACTAAATGGAACAAAGATCCAATCCAACACTTTGGTGGAGACTTTAAACCCATACATACAGGGACTCTCCTGCCGTCCAGAAAAACTGACATAAGGTACAGGATTATTCTTTATCAAAATGTTTTTAGGTGGCTACTAGGGATCTTTAAAAAAATATTAATTGCTTATGTGGAAAAGCAACTAAATGTTATTTTCTTTATCTAAATTAAGAAATCTTTTGTTATTATGCTATTTATAATTTTTCTGGTTCTTATGTTTTAAAAAATCTAATATGAATGGTATCCAAGTTTTCTTTCTTTCTTTTCTTTTTCCCCTGTAGGTCTTTTCTTAACAACAGTGAATTCACATGGAATAATTTTTAAAAGACCACAGATAAAATTTGCTATTCCAAGCAAATTATGATTTAAAGCCACTTTTAAAAATACAAGAAGGAAAATGGGATGAGATACGGGGTTGGGACTGTTTAATGTTTAAAGATTATCATTATTGGTTAATGTTAACATATTTCCTCTTTTTTTAGAGGGTAAAAGTGTAGTTTTTAAATTGGCAAATGCACTCCTTAGAAATCCTTTTCCGTCTCAGCGTCATGGGGAGGTTAAAGGTTCAATTTCATGGCCTCTATGCAGGCAGTACGCACAGGATGTAAGAGCGTTACCTGCAGGGACAGAATGCAGTTGTGCACAGACACATTCTTATTTTTCTTGGGTTTTCTGTTTCTAATGACCCTTTTATTGAATATTAGGCTGAAATATAATTTTAAAAGACACGTTGGAAAGGATGTACAACACAAGGCTATGTATGTATATACCGTATGTCAAAAAGCCTTTTATTTTTATACTTCAAATGCTCTAAATTAATAAAAAGTAATAATGACCACGTTATCTTTTACTTTTTATTTTCTAAAACGCTTTAGTGAAGCCCCACGGTAGAAATATCCTACAACAGTAATTAAGAACAGGTGTTACCTAGAACGTGCAGCTATTTTTGTTGACTTTAGCTACTGAATTTGCATCATTTCAGGATACAGAGTTTGGTTATATCAAGTTTGGTTATATCAAGATGAAGGAAATATTTTTTTGGGGGGGGTTAGTATAGCAAGCTCTAAGAAGGCTAAGAATGTACTTACATTTTGAAACATTTTTCCCTTTATCATACATATTTTAATATTGCAGACAGCAGACTTTACACCCGAAGCTGTCTTTTAAAACTAATAACCTGAAAATGCAGTTTTACTTCACACATTGTTCCTAAGAGTGGCACAGGTAAGCATTCTGCACAAAGGTATTTGGATGCAAAGACAGATGGCACAAATGGGCCCAAGGAATGCTTCTAATTTGTGACTGAACGTGAACATATTTCAGCAACAAAACTTGTCTTCAAGGGAAACTATGGTTTAATATAACTTTGTTTTCTGTTGGTAATAAGAGACTTTGTTTTTTTTTTTGTTTTTAAATTTTATTTATTTATTTATTTATTTATTTTTGTGGTTTTTGGCCAGGGCTGGGTTTGAACCTGCCACCTCCGGCATATGGGGCCAGCACCCTACTCCTTTGAGCCACAGGAGCCACCCCGGTAATAAGAGACTTTGGATATCATGATCTTAAAATACCTGCTTAAAACAACAGTATTTTAACACTTTCTTTTAAACAGTGTTTAAAATATTCATTTAGACAGTGTGAGATACGAAGTAGATTTAGAAGAATATAGCTGAGATGTGCATAATTATTAAAGAAAATGAACAGATTTACATTTTAATGTGCTAGTATTTCATACAATTAAAAATTCTTAAAAAGCCATTTTAGTGTACTACAAAAGCATGGTCTTTGTGCTCTTTAAATATTATTTATGGGAGAATATGATTCCTTATGAAAACTTCACATTTTGGCTTAACTTTTTTTTTTTTTTTAACCCAGTCTTTCTTTGAACAATGCTTTAAGAATTGACCTTGGAATAATTTATTTTTAAAAATTTACTTTGAGCATTTCTAGACCTCTTAAGAAAAATAGTTGTCAGTACAATGGATTATCATTGTGAAATAGTGTAAGAGGAACACAGGTGACAAAGTTTATATTGCTTTTATGAAATATATCTGATTTCTATGCTATTTTTCTATATTCAGTTTATACATTTATCTCATTACTTCACATTATTTTTCTTCTCACAGTTTTATGTTAATGGCCGAAACTATCATCTCAAGTTGTCTAAAGACAATTTTCAAAGTATCCAAATAGGTTTTGCTCTTGAACAAACGGTTTTCCCCTTCACAACTGTATGCTGAGCTTAGCTGGTCAGTCTTCTTCCCTCTTCATGGTGCTGCACAGCAACTGTACATTATCTCAAGGGGGAAAACACTTCCTAGGCAATCACCAGTTCTCCTGAAGCCATGAATAGGTGTATTCATAAACCAGCAGCATCACCGCACCACCTAGAAAAGAAAAGAGCTGGTTTTTATCACCAATCCTGCAGAATAGTATGGCCTCTCTTACTGGGTTTTTGAATCCACAGTGCCCCATGCAGACTATCAGGCAGGGCCTATTTGGAATCATCAGCTCTTGAGCTCCAATACAAAGATATAAAACTATTATGGAAAATTCTCAGGGTAAAATCAAGACCATCTTGAGTCTTCAAATGCATTTTTTCCCCATGAGTTTCTGCAACTTTCATCATTTCTCATCAGATTCTTTTTCAGGCACTTTTAATTTTTAAAAGTAAATAAATATAGACATATTTAGTCATGTAAGGGCATGTGGCTTGCCTGCAAACAGAAACCTTCAGATTCTTCATCTGTAGGCAAAGGAATGATCTTTTTGAGTCTCTAGTTAGCATCGTCTTAGTTGCATTTGTAAAGGAAATCTCTAAGATGGTGTTTGACTAATGAGTCTGGGTTTCTCTTATTGTTTTCAAACTGGATTGCAATGTGGAAAATAGATTCTGAGTATTTAAAAAATCTGTACTGGAAAACTTAAAAACAACTTGTAAGCTAAACTCTATTCCCTTTATCTGCTTCAGATGTATATAGATTTGAACTTGAAAATTCGGTCATGGGGGTTGGGTGGCATGAGACCACCATTTGTCTTAGAAGACAAGAGTTATATAACTGGCTGCCGAGATTGCCATGTGACGTGTCAACAGGAACACGATCCAGAAAAACAAGCACCGTGGCTGCTGAGTACCTAAACAGTGCGGAAAGCATTTGCATGTGGATCCTTTGTGTTCTGTTTGATGCAGTAAATAGCAGGTCCCGTGCTCTGCAGGATAATCTCTCTTGATCCTTTCATGTCTAACTGTGTGAGAAATATTACAAAATCAAAATTTGGACAGATATCCTGAACCCGACTCAGAGAAGTCTTGGCTGTATGCATAGGAGATTGATTTCTGATGGAAAGAAATAGAACTTGATTTGGATCTTAGTTATTTTGAACACACTGCCATATGCTTTTTTTTAAATCTGCAGGCTGCACATGTTTGTGTAACCATATACCAAAGATAATTATCTGCCTGTAATTTTCATTTTTAACCCATGGAGATACTCTATTAGGCCCCTCTTTGCTGCCATAGCCCTCTTGGAACTCTGGCAAACAAAAAGAGGCATAGTACCGAGAGTTGTTAAAATGTATGTAATTGTTGCTGTTTATTCTTATTCACTGTTCACAATACGAGAGACAAGAATATGCAGAACTGGGTTAGTTTTCAGCCTAGAGATTTTGGAGTTTATATCACAGACGTCAGGATTCTTTCATGGGAGGTACCTGAGGGGTTGCCGTTGCCATGTTGAGCTGCTAAGGCTGTTGTAAAAGAAAGAAGGGATGCTTCTCTAGAATGAAGAACAAACTTCCAGGCTCAGCTTTCCATTTTTTTTTTTAATTGTCTCTCACTGTCTCTCTTTCTCTCTTTTAAAATCTTACCCTTAACTCAAAAGTCTTAACCTTTACCTCAAAAGGTACCTTTCTCTCTACCTTTTTTTCCTTGGAAGTTGCTGGGACTTGCACGCTAGGCATGAAGGGGAGGCCAGGTCCTTGAATGAGGTTTCCAGTTATTTGCAGCTTTGTTTAGCTGGACAGGAAGTTCACAACAGCCCTTTTCATTGAGTTTAACACCACAGCAACTCAGAACCTTTTTAAACCTTTAAAAAGCCAACCAAACATTTGCAAGCCTCTAGCAAATCTTGGGGTCAGATTATTTAAGAGTTTTGGATTAAGGTTCCAGGCAATTACCATTTTAGCTAAACTCTCCCTCGTCACCAGGCTTTGTAGGTCCATTCCCTTCTGAGGAAGCTGGGTTAGGGCTGGTGCTGTGATTTTCTCTCATATTAGGTCTACTAGCAAGTTTTTACTGTGTGGTGAAGGGAAAACACTGCATCCCGGCAGAGATGCACAGAATTCCCCACGTTTTTTGTTATTGGGTTAGTTTTTACACACGGGCCATTGACTAACAGAAGGCAGGTCTGAATCTCCAGCAGGAACAAGATCCCTGCTTATAGGCCTAGGAAGGTTGGGAGAGATGGACTAGGAATTGTAAAAGTGTTCTCTAAATGCACGAAGCTACGAACCGTTTACCAGTTTCAATTTACAGATTGCTCTTTTCTATCTTAGGTTGATAGAATTGCTGGTTCACTGGGCTGAGATCTAAAGGTAAACACGCATGTGTTTGTCCAGTGGAGGGGGGAGGGCGTTGGTGATAAAAGGGCGGAAAGGCAAAGGGAGAGGGGAGAGCAGGAGGAGAGGTACTAGGGGGATTTCTAGGGAAGATTCTCAGGATGTCTAAGTAGGTGAGTGTGGCCAAGTTAAAAAGAAATACGTGTGGTCTTGAGCATATTTTTGTACTTATTCATGAGGCTGCTTCTGATCTGAGACTGTCTGCCCTGGCGGTGGAGTCTGCAGTAGGTATTTTCTTATCTATTTGCACAGAGGCAGCTGACTCCCTGTGGGAATGGCAGTGGGTATTTGTGGGCTGCCGTCTGAGGTGAGGCCCTGAGCCAGGAGCCTCCACTGTCACACTGACAGAGGCCAGGAGAGGTGAGCACCCAGCTGTGGTGTCACCACTCTCAGGAGTGACTCTGAAGGCCAGTGGCCCTTGCTGTTCATGGACTAAGTTGTCCTCCTTTTCTCTTTTTGAAATAAAGCTGAGGCAGGAGCAGGAACAAATTAGGAAGCACAAGGAAATGTTTTATCAGGCTGGTCCCTCACCCAGTGGAAATCCTCTGCCCTGGCCGAGGCCACTGTGTACATCTGGGTGCTCACTCAGACTCCTGCTGGCTTGGATCCTTTCCTGTTGACTTAAGCTGGGCTTTGGCTTCTATCAGCCTCCAGCAAGGACATAAATAATACTTTGCAAACAAAGGTAGAACGTTTCTAATGGATGCCTTTAGTATCTTGAAGACTCATAGACAACTTCATATCCTCAAGCTTTCCACCTTTCACAAAGTGGTACATTTTTATTGTGCTGCTGATAGATACAAATAACAACAGCAACAACAAAAGGAGACATTACAATAAAGGAATAAAGAAGGATTATAAATAATAAAAACATTATTACCTGGTCCAAGTCTCATAATCTTGGGAAGCAGGCCTTTGTACAAAGCTAAAATCCTACAACCAGAGGGAAAGAGCAACACTGTTATTCTGAAAATAAATGGAATTGGACCTCAGTATGATTAAGATGCTGGCCCAGCACTTACAGAAAAAAAAAAATATTTGAAATTACACACATCCCAAACCAGACAGTATCTGGCTTAGGATTCTTGGCAGCAAATTTAATATGGGGAAAGAGTTAATCAAGAATAAAGAATTTTATTACCCTATGCTGGGTCTGTCCAATCAGAAACATGGCTTTCATCAGTGAGATGGTTTTTGCTTTCAAGGCAGCTGTGTATATGGACAAAATGATTTTTGTAATTGAATTTAAAAGACCATAAATTCGGTCTTTACATTAGGAAATACGATGCAGTTTAGATCCAAATTATAAAATATTACTTATTAACTTGAGAATAAAACATGGCAAGAGTAGACAGAAAGTAAGAGAAAGGCATGTACTTTACATTTTTTTTTTTAAAAAGTATTTTTACAGGACTCTATATTTAATTCTCCTAGAGGCTATAATTAGGTGGCACTTGGATTAGATTTATAGTCAGAAGACAAGTATTCTCCTGCCCATGTTTCCATGTTTCCCCGGAAAATAAGACACTGTCTTATATTTATTTTTTTCTCAGGAAGACACACTAGGGCTTATTTTCAGGGGATGTCTTATTTTTATTAAGTATAATACAACAATCTACATTTATTCAAATACAGTTAAGTCATCTTCTGGAACCTGACAGGGGGAGCTGACCTTGTTGGTGGGGCTGTTGCTAGTGATGCGTGAACTCCTTTCCCCTAGCCATTCGCACGTGCACAATACTGTATTATCAGGACATGTAATATCCAATGGCATGTTACAGAAACTGACAAGCAGAAGCTCATCTTAGCATTCAAAGGCAAGCATGCAGCATACTGTGTGATCGTGCCCACAGCACCACCTTGCTGGTGTAAGAACGTTTTGATAACATCTCATTATTGTGTTATCTTGTAAAGTTTGTCATATGGACTCCACAGAGCTTCTTGGACACACACCCACCTCACGAGGGCTTATTGATTCTAAACAAAATACCTGTACAATAAGGTTTGAACAATACTTGAGACTTGCACATTTATTAAAATAGGAATGTGTTACCCTTCTTCCTGATAGACTGTTGTCATTGTTTTAAAACAAGTTCTGTACTTGATCTCTCCAGGAACTGGTTGAGGCCCTTGAATCCGACTTTTGGCAACATCAAAGGGGATGTTAAGGACTGAGGCTATTGTCCCTGAGAGAAGACCGATCCCAAATTTTCTCAAAAACTCCAAGGTTGGATCCTAAAAGAAAAGAAGAATAAAATATCAGAAGGGGGAGCGGAAGCCCCCTAAATTGGTTAAACGCTATAAAGCAATATGTACTGAAGCAGAGCGTTGCACGCCCGGCACCCTCCTGTTATTCCAGCGGAACACATTAGGATTTCCTAGGCTGGAACTTGTTTTCTTGACAATCCCATTGGCTATGTTTTTACACATGGTCTAAATTGCTGAAGTACACATTTCCTCACACAGGATTTATAAACACAGTTCATAAAGAAAGACTGGTATGGCATATGGGGATGATTTGTATAATTGGGCTTCACAATGTACTTAGTATTACTGTATCAAAACAGGAGAAATCCAAGCTCACTATTAGCTAATTGGCCAGAATATTTTACAAATGACAGCAACTTCCACCATGAAGCCTACTAAAATGCTCATTTGTGTGTGGACCCCCAAATGTTAAATTAAATCAAGGCCGCGCTTGGTCCGCTGCTATTCCCCTCCAGGTTTTTTGCATTTATTTTCATGTGTAGCTGATCCACTGTACTGAGAAGTGCTAGCTTCCTGTTATTAACAAAGCAACTTGGGGCGGCTGCAAAACAGCCTGTGACATTCTGTGCATTATAAACAGTAGTAAGTCACCGGGCTAATTGGCTGAAGAATTTACAACCCATTGTTTCTGAATCTTATTCTTCCTCCATGGCAAACGAAGAAAAGGAGAGAGAGTGAGAGTAAGTGCCAGAGAAATATTTCTCCTTTCCAAATGAATTTAGGCCCTTCGCAATGGTCTGATTTGATTTTCTACCCCTCCCTACTCTGCTCTCTGACATCAAAGTATTTCATTAGGTTGTATGGGGGAGTCACTTTCCTTCAGCCTGTTTTGTGCCCAGTGAGCTCACATCAGGCTTCGTTATAATGAATTTGCTGGGACGCTCTTCCTTCTGTTTTCTGTCTCAGGTCTGTGCTTTCAGCCCTCTGTTCTCAGAAGAGAGGTCATGTTCCAGACCATAAGGTGCTGACTCTCTTGGTCACTATTTCAGAGGGATCATCACAGAGAAACAAAATACGTTGTGTCGTGATATTTATTTTATCCAGCAGAACCGAAAGCGGGGAAGCCTGCCCAACTTTAGTAAAAAGAAGTTCAAGTCTGACCATTGCATGCTTTCAGTTTCCATGAAGGTAGAAAAATTCTGGAAGCTCTGAATTTTTCAACTAAACTGAGAGCCAGTTACCATCACAGAAACTCCTATGTGACTAAGTATAAAAAGCGAGGGGTTCGGTAATAATTCTTGGACCTGGGCCATACAGGTGCCGGGGAGGTTTAAAGGGATTTAAAAACCAACAGGGTGTTTCAACAGGAAAAACAATGCAGTGATTGCAGTATGAGTGAGGTGTGTTTAAATAATTCCCTCTCCCCCCATTTTTTCTCTTTTACAAGGAGAGAAAAATGCCATTACGTTACTCTTCTCCATTATGGCATAGAAGTAGAACTGGAGCCCAGAGGATGGTGAATTCAGGACTAGCCCTGGTTGTCTGACCTTGGACGAGTCACCAAATTACACACAGCCCAGCGTATAGGGAAAGTTTTTCACACCTACCTTACCTCTGCACTGTGTCATTTTTTCCTGGGAATTAAAAGCCATAATAGAAGTAAAAGTGTTATATGTGTTGTACAAACCAGGCAGAAAATGAAAAATATTATAATGCAGCCTGTTTTCTAAAGATGCAAAGCATCCCGTAAAAAGATGCTCTCCTGGTGCTTGTTGACAAGTCACGCTCTCATTTCCAATTAAGGAAAAGAGTAAAAGTGATAACTTGTACCCATGTTGTCCTCTTGGGAAATTCAGGGGACTTCCCTGACATGTTTGGAAGATCAAAGTTGGGAACAGGGTAAACCAAGACATTTGGTGATGGTCCTCATGCATGAGGCTGCATTAGAGACCAAAAGACAAGGTCTCCAAGCCATCATCGTGTTCACTGGCAGGAGCAAGGCCAGTGTTTTTATACATTTCCCAGCACAGGAGTAAGATCCCATAGCAGTTCTCAAATCTAGCTGTGCTTCAGAATCACCTGGTAACTTTACAAAATACAGATCCCTGGGGCCCACCTCAGGCCCACCTCTGGGTTCCAGACCAGAATCTCTTAGAAAGTGTCTTTTGAAGCTGCCTGGCTGAGGACCTGAGTCTAGGAATCAGTGATTTTGATGTTCCGCACAGGCCAAGCAAATGGTCAGTTGCTACCCTCGTGGGCATTCTAGGAAGGAGAAAAGTTTGCTTGAGATGGGCAAGAAGTGTCTTTACCACCCAGCTTCTGGGTCTATAGTTGGTCTCCTTGCCTGACCCACAGTCTGCTGTGATCCAGCATCCCCGCTGGGCCTGGGTGAGCCAGGAGACAGCCCTCTCCACTCCCCCTGCCTTGTTTGCTGCGCGTTGCCCGCCATCCTCCCATGAATGCAGCCTCTCCTCTCAAATGCCTCTCCCGCTCGTCCCTTCCTGGATGCTCCCACCTCACTGGCTTTAGTTCAAGTTCCCATTCCCATTCCCAGGTCCGGCTTCCTCCATGACTTCTGTGGTCATGAAGGACACTTCACAGTGGCAAGGGTGGCACCACAGTAGCATTTCTTTATAAAAACAGATCTGGTCCTGGTCTCTCCCTGCTCATAGACACCCTGGATGTGTGGAGAGCAGAGATGAAGTAGCACACTGGCCTCTACATTCTTTCCCGCATACCTTTCCAGCTGTAACCCCCAGTCCATACTACAGTCACACAGGTACTCAATAAATATTCAATATACCGAGCACTTTCCCAATTCCATGCCTTTCTTCAGACTATTCCTGCAGCCTAGAATGTCTTTCTCCATCACATTCCTCTACAGCCGTGGTTCTCAACCTGTGGGTCGTGACCCACAGGAACTGTATTAAAAGGGCTGCGGCATTAGGAAGGTTGAGAACTACTGCTCTACAGCAATCTCATTCCCTTTTAAGGCCCAGCTTAAATACCACTCACCCAAGATGTTTTATGGATCCTTGTGTCAAAACAGATTTCTCTCCTCCTCTCCTCCTGAGACACTGTGTGAAGCGCAGTCATCACCCCTGCTCTAGCCCGCTTAGTGGTTGATATTTTTGCAAGTGTCTGTCTTCCCTGGGGCACCGTGTGCCCACACAGCAGAGGGGCATGTGCTATTCCCCTTTATTTTGTCTGTTTTGCAGTATACACAGTAGGTACTAAATAAATGTTTACTCCTTGGCCTGTCAATGTATGTGCTTATTTATTTTTGTAGAAACAATGAAAATCGAGTTTAATCCTTTCTCAAGACGCAGTGTCTTCCAGCCTGGAGATGAACCCGGATTACAATCCTACATTATGGCAAGGGGAGGACAAGGCCTTGGGCATTTGGAAAGCAGAGGATTTCAAGGTGGATGAATTGAGACTCTGAGTTCACAGAACCAGACTTAGACTCGCAAGACCCCATTGCTCAGTGGCTCGCAGAGACCAGCATCATAGAAAGCCTGTGACCGGATTTTAGCAAAAAAAAAAAAAAAAAATACAATCAACATAAAGTAAGGTTTCAAAATATTCCTCTCTAGGCTCTTTGTTCCTGCACTCACTGACCTTTTCCTTAGTGGGCAGAGCCACCCTCTTGACTCAGAAAGAATTAGGGTTTTTGTACCAAGATTACGTAGCGAGAAAAAGGCAATATGTAGTGTCTTTGGTTTCAAATTGGGATCTTGATAATCAAAATGGAAGTGTTGGAAGAGAGGCAGAATCTTGGAGAAGACCAGGGGCAGCAGGGGACAAATGTGTGAGGTCCACATGGGGGTCCTGCTAGTGGCTGTGGCCAGACACCCATGCACAGAAGTCCTGCAGCACTAGACCCTTCTTGGCATTCTGTCTGGCACATCCCACGTGGCAGGGGCAAACCCCTCCCTTGGAAGCTGCGGGAGGTGGGGGTGGGGAGAGGATCTTCATAGCTGCTGTCAAACCACCCTGTGTGTGGTTCAACCCTTCAGCTGCTCCGGACTCTAGAAGACTGAGGACAACGATGATGGTGTGAAAGAGAAAGATCCAGCCCTTCCTTGGGTGGGGTCAGGTCAATATTTGTTACTTATTCAGAAACTTTCCTTGGAGGCTCTCAAAATGCTAGACATCTCTATGAGAAGGTCAGCAATCCCACCTTCTTTCTGAGAGCTAATGCTGCAAGGCAGAGCTGGTTTGTATAGCATTTTGGAGTTACCTAGCAGGCAAGTGGTGACATGGGGGGGAAATTCTCAGGCAAGGATTCTTTACTGTTCTAACCAGGAAATAAGGGGTCCTTAAACTTAGGAACCTGGGGCAGAGCAGAAAATAAGCACTACAGGAACTCATTCCACCAAACCCACCTGAGCTTTGGAGAGGAACGTGGGGGTAGGCAGGTGTGGAGGACAGAGTTGGGGGGCATGCTGAGGCCAAGGTGCTCATAGCTTGAAACTTCATCTCAAATTGAGCAGGGCTGGCCTGGCTCAGGAGCAGAGGTGAGGAGGGGCTGTAGCCTCTACTCAGAGCCCTGTTAATTCTGTGGTTGCCTTTGGAAGCAGCATCCACCCGCTGTCCTCAGCCCCACTGCCCCACCCCTACAGCCCAGGGCCCAACCTCACCAGCCTCCTTGGTGGCCTCCTCCCTTCGCACAAGCACCTGACCCCAAGTTAGCCACATCCCTCTTCCAGCTCATGCAAGGGGTAACGCTTTTAATAACATCAAACACTTAAGTACATATTTGGTGCCAGAGACTGTCCAGGGCAAATTTCTATGCATTAAATCAGTTAATCTTCATCATCTTTCAGGTAAAAGCTATTATTATTATTCCTATTTAACAAACGAGTTAACTGAAAGGTTAAGTATAAGAAGGGAACTTTTGTTACATCCAAGTGAACTCAAAACTTTGCCTCAAGTCATAGTTTTTGTCCTGCTATTCCTGAGAGTTAGTGGTGGGCTGGTGGTGGAGGTTCCAAGAACCTCCTGCATTTATAAGCAATGCTTCT